GATCTTTTCTTCCCTCTTCGTTTTTCTGCACATTGGGAAGGGGGGCATTCTTTTTACATTCTTTTAGAAACTCAGCATTTCCATTGATTGGTTGCTGAGGTCAGGGCAGGGATATCATGGGGGATGTGCTGAACAACAAGTTCCGCGGCTACATGCACCAAAGCCTCGACGTGACTTGCCACCATCATTATTGCATTCTTGGTCATAGACTGTTCACCACTGCCGCTGCCTACCATCCCTGATTGCACAAGGTTCGCGGGTGGGCCCCCCGCGATCCACAGAAGAGAGTCAAAAGAGATGGAACCATTTTGGACTACGAGGCGCAGAAACTTCTGTGCCAATTTTTACACGCATTTAGTTTTTCAAATGATTTGCCCACTTGGGCGTGATTGCCATAGGTTCAAGAAGCATTGTTCGAGCAGATTGAGCTTGTGCGGTGTGCAAAGTATGTGGTCCAATGCGCGAAGCTCCTCAAGGATGAGTTCCAAATGGCATGGATTGTCTTCCTCCTGACTTGCCACTTGGCTGCTGGAGTTAAACAAACAAATAATGGTTCAGCATGGATTTCAACTTCCTGTTTCACAGAATACAGGCAGACTACACTCAGAGGTGTTGGTAAGTAAAACAGACAAGCCATGAGACTCAACAATGTTCACTCAAACCTGCTTCCTGTCACACATCGCAAGGGTTCACTGCGCACTTAGGTTCACATGGCAAGCATCGATCTGCAATAGTGGCCTTGCTGTCAGCATACATGATGGGAGAGCTGGTGTTCTTTCCAACATATCATGGGCTTCTTGGCAAGGTTGCATTTTGGTTCACTTGTTGGATTTAGACAGTTGACTGAGAATGTTTTGCGCACAAGGCTGGCATCACATCCTTGGGCCTTGCAAAGGGACACCTTGAGCCCGAAATGCCAGAAAGCTCTGGAGGACTATGCGCCTTGACTTGATTGGTTGACTGATGACTTTCAAAGAAACATGGAATACTCACCAAATACACAAGTGGACACAGAAATGGTTCTGGTGGTCCATTCTATTAATTTTAAATGGTTTCTTTCAGTTATATGGCCGCCTGCTGTAATTTCAAAAGGGCATGTGACATGATTTGCTTTGTTTGAGCCAAAATTATGATTGCGTGCTGACAGCCTTCAACTTCACACTTTTCCAATATTGTAACTGGCTCTTTCTTATTGATCATTTGTTAGACTGAGACTGCTTCACCTGGACACGACAACTGGATGCAACACGCATGTCATGTGAAAACTGAGTGGGTGGCAATGTTTTCAAGACTTCATGATATGAGTCACTTTGAAACTGGTTCCTTCTGATCATGTGATCGATATTTGCTTACACATGGCCCTGATGATCGATGTAATGATGTGTACTGCGCGCATCATTAGAAAACATTGGGGTCGCTCACTCATTACTTGAATCATTCATGATGTTTCTTTCCTGGCTCTGCCAGCTCGCTCACCAGAGGTCCACCAGCTCACAGCGCCACAAGTGGTTAATTTGGTTGAGCCTGAACAACCAGCTCCTGAACAACCAGCTCCTGAACAACCAGCTCCTGAACAACCAGCTATCCCAGATGAATTGGTTCAACAGCTGGGAGCTGTATGCGCACCAGTGTGTTGGGCCCTACAGAACTTGAAGGTGACATCAGCAGCTTATGTTGTTCCTGGACTGCAACTTATTTTGGAAGACCTGCATACTTTTGTGACGCGCACTCTGTGTAAGACTTGAAAAAGATATTACTGTAATGTTTTTTGGGGGCAACTCTGACAGGCGATATCTATCCCCAAGACTTACTTTCACGTTGAGCCCAATGTTTGCAGGCATTGCTGGGCTTGGCAACTTTCTCGGAGGATGGCCGCAAGTTCACGCTGGCGATCCTCGGCGCCCTTCAACGTTTCATGTATGCAATATGACAGTGGTGTTGAATGTGACAGGTGACAGGTGATGTTAAATGACAAGTTTTTGACATGTGACAGGTGAAGCTGATCCTGACAAGAAGAGGTGCAGCGGTTGTTTGCCGTTGCTGTTTGCTGCCTCATGTTAATGTCTACTGTCAACTGTCAAGTGTTTGTTTACTGTCTACTGTCAACTGTCTACTCTCCTGTCAGGTGGGATTCAGCTGACGCAGCTATCATTGGCCATTGCCGTGAAAAAATGAAGCTCCTCACCGCCAACCATTGGACGGCAGCTACCGGCCAAGAGCATCCCAAGCGCAGGAAATGATGAGAAAATCAGAGTGCTGTGCTGTTTCTTTTAGTTTTTCTTATTACTTCAGTTTGTGTTTCTGTATGTTGCACTCTTTTTTGTGAGCCTGTGTCATATTATATCATAATGATGTCATGGCATTTTTGAGTGACTCCCATGGGAGGCATTCATTCACAGATGAACATGTCTTGCACTAAGAGTCACAGTGATGATGCACTAGCACTGCAATTGTCTCGGAAACATTGAGACACCCAACCATTAGTGTATCGTTGACAAATGGAGCCGACTGACAATTCAACGCCAAGGATCCCCATCTCCAGTGATTGGGCGCCCACAACTCAGTGATTTAGCGCCTTCCAGACACACCATGAACTTGCAAAATTAGATGTGAACAATATATAATCACTGTTTTCTGTCGTTCATTGGATGTTAGTAGATGTGTGAAAATATTTTACATCATATATTCAGATAGGTTGTGCGCAATATACCATTTGTATTGTGTGTCACTCACAGGATGTCTAAAATAACTCTTTTCAGCACATCCTTTTCATGGCGCTGACTGCTAAGGGATTCAAACACAATGTGTTAATGTGTCATAAGGCTTGCAAAAAGTATCTCAGTTTGATTGCTTCAGCTCCTGAGGGACATTTTCGAGACGGCGATGGACGACCCAGATGATCTACTCACGTAACACCCCAAGTTTTTTGAGAAGATTCTTGACATCAGACATTCATTCCATTGAAGTGCCACATGTGTCACTTGCCCAACAATGTGTAGTGGATCTTTGAGCATTTACTTAGTGTCACAGGACCTTAATCCCTCAAGAACTGTTTGGAAGTATTGTTTGTTGTTGATATTCTTGCCTCAGGTTTTTTAATCTGACTTAGTGGGTTTCCTTACGAAAGAACCCAACACAAAAATGTTTAAAGTTTAAACTGGGTTGGCCAAGGACCTTTGAGTACTTAGTGTCGCAGGACCTTAATCCCTCAAGAAATGTTTGGAAGTAATGTTTGTTGTTGACATCCTTGCCTCAGGTTTTTAAATCTCATAGTGGGTTTCCTTACTAAAAGAACCCAACCCAAAAATGTTTAAAGTTTAAACTTGCAATTTTCCTCGTGGGTTGGCCAAGGGCCTTTGAGCACTCAGTGTCATCTTGACACAAAACCCAAATCCTCAGTCACTCCAAAACCCAGATCCTCGGTTACTCCAAA